GTCTGGTCTACAAGAGCTAGTTCCAGGACAGCCTCCAAAACAATACAGAGAAACCCTGTCTCGAAAAACCCAAAAAAAAATCAATCAGTCAATCAAACAAAAACAAGAAAAGAAAGGAATGAAGGAAGAAAGAGAGAAAAGAACTTAAAGCTAAGCTAAACATGGTGGCTTGTGGTTATAATACCAACCCTGAAAGCTGAGGCGGAGACATAGCAGTGAATTGAGGCCACCTTGAGTTACAAAGCAAGATCCTGTAGCAAAGTGGAGGGGGGGAGGGAATGAGAGAGATGGAAATAAAAACTTAACAGAATATCTGATCTTTGTTCCTACATTTATAGAGATTTAAAATTTTTAGCATTATTGATATATTTGTATATCGTTTTCACAATATCCTTTTTCTTTAGAACCATTTCTACTTTGTTCCAGTACATCTTAGAGAGTATGCAACTCAACCTCCCTTGACAACAGAAATGAGGCTCTATGAGGAGAAGTGGCTCTAGGAGGGATGTAGGCTGTCACAAGAAAACATGGGTCCCTTGAGCCTGGTAACTGAAGTGCTGTCCAATGTGAAGTCTCTGCCCTTAGCGTTTTCTTTGGAGAGTATTTGAGAACATCTAGGCAGAACATCAACAGAACTTATTAATTCTGACTAACAAGGAATGAGGAATGAACTATAAAGAGCTATAATTGTTTTATGGCTTATGAAGATTTTAAGGAAGGTGTTAACCTGCCTGATATTAACTACATTCAGAAAACAAAAACACAAAATACCCTTGTAAAAACCCACAAAGCAATAAAACTCAGGGTTTAATTTCCAGAACCCAGAAATGTTAAATAGACCTGCAAACTCAAAACCCTGCTCTTGCTTTCACTAACTTTCAAGGTTGATCAAGCAAAATGAAAAAGGGAGGAGAAATTTCTCAAGCAGAGAGGGTAATAGCATGCCCCACTATATTACTTAGGTTTTATTTCCCAGCCTGGCCACTGACTTCAGATGTGACCTTGAGTGAGTCGTTTCATCCCCTGGTGTCATTTTTCCCATTTGTAATGCCAGATAATAAATAACACTTGCTGCCTCTCGATCCTGGGTGATGTTATTATCACCATCAATTAATATTTATTGGCTGCCTGTTGGGCCCATTATGCTGAGGTGGGTGCTTTGCCCTGAGAAGCAAGAGAGGGTTGTATCAGTAAAACATTTTCCATGAGGAAAAAGAGAACAGAGTTCCAAAGATAGGGTTATTAAAGCTTAAAATAGCAATGACATACATTCTAAATCACACTTCTCTACTGAGGCCTATGTAATAGCTCCTTTGTTCTCAGAGGTTGTACCAGGGTAATCATGCTTTAGAATACCCATTTTACTTCTGGTTGATCTGAAGTAACACATGTGAAGGAGCTACTACACTTTCTTCTTCTACCTGGAAATTATAACCTAAGCACCGTTATTTAGAAATATTATTATTCACTTGTAATATTTTGTCCTCTTTGCATTGTAACTCACCTTGTTTAGAAAAAAACAACTTTTTCAACAGGATTATAGGCTCAGGGAATGTAACATCATGACTTAACTCCTTTTCTTCAGGAAGAATAAATGAGAAACCTGAGGAGCCCCCCACCAAGCACCTCTTAACTAAACAGAAACTTCAGCGCTGGTTTGTCCAAACTCTGAATGAATGAGGGCCCTGCTGAGTTTCTTTAAATCTGTGATGACTTCCCATCTCCACTGTCATTACCACTCACCTGACACTTAGAAGAGGCTCAACCTTGTGTCTTTGGACCTGCTCTCTCCTTTTCCCATCTGAGCCTCTCACCACCAAGAAAGCAGAACCGTGAATGGGAAGATAGATATGGCATGTTTATATAGTGTTGTTCAGCCTTATGAAGAATGGTATGCTGGCCCTTCACAGCATGGGTGGACCATGAATATATTTTGCCAAGTGAAATAAAGCTTGAATCCTGGATCATCGCATCCACCCTCTCTTAGAGCAAGTGAGTCAATAAAGAACACAGCAGAAGCCATACACTAGTCACAGAAGAATCACATGCCTTCATTTTGGCAGTGTCCTGAGCTACACAGGACAGCCCTGTGTGCAAAAAGAAGGGAACATACAGGGGGTATGAGCATTGGGAGGCAGAAGGGTATGGGACTCATGGGAGAGGATCCCATGGATATTCCAGTTGGGCTGCATGAAATTGGATTAACTACATTTAAGACAGCATTACTCTGGCACCTGTCACTACAGGATTCTGAAATTAAATATTAACAGTTATGACTCTTTCTTCTACCTATTTCTAATCACTGTTTTCAGACATAGACCTTGTAAACTCCCGTTAAAACTCTTTTTCCACACACCATTCCTCTAATCTCAACCAGCCTCTTCTGCCATCCTCCTGAACTAAGCTTTTCTTCCTAAATGACCATGGAAATAGCTGTTTGTGCCCTCAGCTCTGATCTTCAAGAACAGTGTAAGTGGACCTCGTGCTGCCCCACTCTGCTGTGTATCATTGACCTTTGACACCAACTAACCAGCAAGCCTTACAGGAAAGAATGCTGTATCTCACTATAACTTGGCTCCAAAGTATTGTTCATTAGCCCTGCTAATTATGAGACTGGATAACTTGTAATATAGCATTCCTTAGCATTGCATTATGTAAGAAACATTTCTTTTTTATTTTTAAATTCAAATTTAAATTAGAAACAAGGTTGCTTCACATGTCAATTCCAGGTCTCTCTCTGCTTCCCTCCCCTCCTCCCATGCCCTCCCACCAACCCCCCACAATATCCCCTCATTTCCCCAGGGAGCGTGAGGCCCTCCATGGGGGTGTCCACAGTCTGTCATTTCATCCAGGGCAGGGACTAGACCCTCCCCCAAGAGTTCAGGGTGAGAGTGCATCTCTCATTGTTGGATGGGAGTCCAAAATCCATTTGTATACCCGAGATAAATACTGATCTACTACCCAAGGCTCAATAGATTACCTAGGCCTCCTCACTGACACCCACATTCAGGGGGTCTTGATCAGTCCCATGCTGGATTCCCAGGCATCAGCCTGGGATTCAAGAACTAACCCTTGTCAGGTTAGCTGTTTCTGGGGGTTAAACCTGCCCAGTCTTAATCCCTTTGGTCATCAGTCCTCCCTCTCTGTCACTGGATTTCTTGAGTTCAGCTCAGTGCTTAGCCGTGGGAGTCTGCCTCTTCTTCCATCAGCCACTGAATGAAGATTCTGTTTCCCAGACTCTCTGGCCATGGGATTGTCACTGTCACTCCCCAGATCTATGTCTAAAATCCATATATGAGAGAGTACATGCCATGTTTCTCTTTTTGTGACTGTGTTACCTCGCTCAGGATGGTTTCTTCTAGTGCCATCCATTTGCCTGTAAATCTCAGGATTCCATTGTTTTTTTTCTGCTGAATAGTAGTCCATTGTGTAAATGTATCACATTTTCTCTATCCACTCTTCGGTTGAGGGGCATCTAGGTTACTTCCAAGTTCTGGCTATTACAAATAATGCTGCTATGAACATAGTGGAACAGACATCTTTGTTGTATGGATGGGCATCTTTTGGATATATGCCTAAGAATGGAGTTGCTGGATCTTGTGGTAGGTTTATTCCCATTTTTCTGAGGAATCTCCATACTGATTTCCAAAGTGGCTGAACCAGTTGGCACTCCCACCAGCAATGGAGGAGTGTTCCCCCTTCACCACATCCTCTCCAGCATAAATTGTCGTTGGTGTTTTTGATTTTAGCCATTCTGACAGGAGTAAGATGATATCTCAGAGTTGTTTTGATTTCATTTCCCAGATGGCTAAGGATGTTGAGCACTTTCTCAAGTGCCTCTCAGCCATTTTAGACTCCTCAATTGAAAATTCTCTATTTAGTTCTGCAACCCACTTTTTAATTGGATCCTTTGGTGTTTTGGAGACTTGCATCTTGAGTGTAAGAAACACTTCTTTATCAAAAATGGGGCAGAGATTATTGCTACAGAGATAAGGAGTGGTTCCATTCTTTTCTCCACGTTGACTACATTGTGCTGCATTTCTGATTAACTTTGTTATACTTGAAACAAAAGATAACGGTACTGTCAGCATAAAGATTTCAAGATGTTGACCTCATAGGACTTCACCTCTAGATGAAGAACTACATGCAAATCATGACTTCTGAGAGAGAGAGAGAGAGAGAGAGAGAGAGAGAGAGAGAGAGAGAGAGAGAGAGAGAGAGAGAGAATCAATATTTTACAGGGAGGAACCCCAGATAGGTTAACCAATCCCTTATCAATTATAAACACATGTACATATGAGCAATGCTAAATGAACTTGAGAGGAAGTGGGGGCACAGGAGCTGGAGGGGCAGAAGGGGAGGTAAAAATGAAAATAATGTGAACACCATTCACATGTAGGAAATTCTCAAAAAGAAAGGCAATAAAAGTAATAAAAAAGATTCTAACAGTCTGGTTTTAGTTTTTGTTAATGTGTATGGGTAGGAAGGACAGTCAGTGATCTTACCCACTAAACCATCTCTCTAGCCTCTTGAGTGTTGGGTGTGTGTGTGTGTGTGTGTGTGTGTGTGTGTGTTCTTGTTTAATTTTTAAGACAGGATCTTATGTGGGACCCGTTGGCAGGATGCAAACATTGACTGGTTTAAGACAGTGAGCCCATATCTATTGTGTTGTTACTAGAGTCCTTTAACTACAATAAAACTAGAGCTTAGAATAATTAATCAATTTCTGTTAAAAAAAACAATATGGCTAGAATTTTAATCCAGCCTTTGAGGTTCCCATACGTGTACCACAACTCGGCAATACTTTTCTAGCCACCTGTAGGTTATAATGATGGCATTACAGAGGTTACAAAGGGTCACATCCCTCACGGCTTAGTTTTCTCAGAGTACCCACCTCAGAAACCTGGTTACCCAAACACCAGAGCAGTGCCAGTTTTAGAGGAAGCACAGACATGTGATGCATTGTCCTAAGAGATTCTGTGACCTTGGTCTAATTGCAGAAGTATTGGGAGCCCCATTTTTGGTGGAGGACCCAGCAAACCAGTTCTTACACCTGAAAAGACAAGTAGTTCACTTGCAAGATCTCTGGAATACAGATTACAACCCAGATGGGAGGGGAATTGCACTGGCTGATGAGGTACTGGTATTTGATACAAGTGTCCCTTTGCTGTCATCTTTTTAAACTGGCATTTCACTGGCTGGCATTCTGATGATACCAGCCTTGCTTCACGCTTTCCTTTTTAGCTTCTCTGAGCTGTAATCTCTCTCTCTCTCTCTCTCTCTCTCTCTCTCTCTCTCTCTCTCTCTCTCTCTCTCCATAAAAGGCTTTTATTGATAAATGCCACATTTTGCTTAAAGATTGAGCTCAAATGTACTTTCCTCTCTGATACCCCCTCTTAATTCCAAGGGGACATTTGTGTTTCCTTCTCCTTCCCCTTTGCATATGTGAACAGTTCTCACAGTATCATGTGGGGACTATTAGTTTCATATGCCCAACCTCACTCAATTACAAAAGCCAAGCACATGCCTTATCCATCCAGGTAATTAGTCTTTGGCTTAATGCGTTGTTGAAGGCTTGGGTAGGTGGATAAGTGGATTGAGTGACTGACTGATGGATTGATGGATGAATGGAATGGATGGATGGATGGATGGATCAATCAATTTAAGTCAAATTCAGTCTACTCTCAGTTTTTCAGTGCCTACCTTTCCTCTGTGATCATCATTGTGCCTTTGATGTCCTTTCATTTGCTTATCTTTTGTGCATTTTCCTATTCATTTGTTCCCACTCCTCAATAAATAAGGATCAACATGCATTAAGCAGCTGGATCTCATGTTTGCTTTCCTGATAGAAGAATAACATGAAACTCTGAGCCCAGTAAAATTGCTAAATTACCTGAGGGTGCCTGTATTCTGTGATTCCCCCTTTACAATTTAAAGACTTCAAAAAATAAATCTATGGCAAGGTATTGGCCTTTCTTCCCTCCCTCCTTCCCTCCTTCCCTCTCTCCCCCACTCACTCCTTCCTTCTCCCTTCCTTCCTTCCTTCCTTCCTTCCTTCCTTTCTGTACCAGACTGTCTCTGTCACCAGGCATGAGAGCATTATAAAAAACATTAAAAAGTGGAATGTCCTGGTTTTCATATAGCCCCAACCCTAGCTTTGCTCTGCATGATGAGGTCTTTTTTTAAAAAAAAAATTTAGAAACAAGCTTGTTTCATATGTCAATCCCAGCTCCCTCTCCCTCCCCTCTCCCCCATCCCTCCCCCACCAGGCCACCCAGTCCCCCACCCAATCTCCACTCCTATCCACAGGGAGGGTGAGGGCTTCCATGGTGGATCTCCAGAGTCAGTCATTTCATCCAGGACAGGGTTTAGACCCTCCCCCAAGAGACCAGGCTGAGAGAGCATCCCTCATTGTCGGATGGGCACTCAAAGTCTATTTGTACGGCAGACGAGGTCTTAACTGGTCTACCAGCATCGCTTTGCCTCTGCTTAGCAACTGCTGATGGAAATCACCAACCAGACAATGCATCTAGTTTTGTGCTCGCTTTTCCCCAACTGGCGTCCTTTACAATTATTAAAACAAGACATTGTTTATTTGGCAAATGAAATTATTACATAGGCTTGATAAACTGTGCCTTCTTTATGCCATGTGGAAATTTTCAAGTGCACTCCTGCCTGAACTGCAGACTGGCTCTGTAATCAACAGATAGATTCTGTAATGCAACAAGACTGCCACATTGATTCACACCGTCCCTCATAAATGCCGTAACACATCTGAGCATTAGAATAAACACATAAGTACACGTATTAAGTAATGAGAATAACTAATGCTGCTCATGTCCCTCCTTCTTGGCAGTGCTGACTTGTGTGTTTCCTTTGCAGGTTCGGGAAGTGTGGACTGTTCTGAAAGCAAGTGTACATCGCTATTTTGACAGGAACAATTTGGCCTTTGATATATCTGCTGCCTAGTAAATGTACTTGAGCCCTGAAAGGGAAGGAACATATATGCTAGGAGTTAGCACAACAGTGTGGCAAACCACAGGCTTGGAGACATGGGGGTAGATTCAGTGTAGCCTTTGCTACATTATTATGTCTATCTTAAGGAAATGCTGAAAGGCACAATTATGAAAACCCTTGCAGACACCTGGAATTGGAAGGTCTCCATAAATGCCCAGTCTTGTGAATGAACATAAAGACTACAGTGAAAGCATTTACCCAAGTGGAGGGGTGCATTTCTGAGAGATAGGATGTAAAATCAAAACAGCAGTGTCATTAAAACATTGTACTCATGGCTCTGGGTTTTGTTGCCTCTTCTTTGAGGGAGTTAGTTCGTTTTAATTTATTAATTCAAAAAGCATAGTCCTGTCATACAGAGCTTGTGTCTGCCCCATTTTTCCTAATACTTTTCATTTCCTAAAGTCAAACTATTTTTATTTATCCTACTGTTTTTAGATTAGCATGCAAGGTAACACGTTCCAGCCACAACATCTCCATACATACATGTATGTCCCTATACTTTATTGCCATTGTCCCCATCCCTTGTACTCCCCCTGCCCTCTATCTGGTTGTCTTTCCTCCTCCAGTAGGGTCACCCTTTCTACTTTCTTATCATATGTACCCATTACCCTGTCTGCTTCACCTCTCATCCAAGATTTCTTCCCATACTCTTCTGATCCTCCTTCCAGCTTGGAGATACACACACACACAAACACACACACACACACCTAAAATTTTAAATCTGGTTTTTACACATAGGAGAAAACACCCAATCCTTTGTCTTTCCAGTCTGGTTTATTTCATTGAACATAATGATTTCCAGTTCTATCCATTTTCCTGCAAATGTCATGATATTTTTGCCGATATGTGAGATTCCATTGTGTATTTGTACTACATTTTCTTTACCCGCTCATCTGCTCACGCATTTGAAACTTTTTTTCATCAAAGGCATCCTGCTGAGGGCAGAGGCAAATATAATACTGACTGACATTAGTGGTTAGGAACCTCCTAGAAGCCACTCATTTACGGAAGTCTTGGAAAAGGTGAAAGTTTTGTACTCTGTTCCCAAACATATTTATGTTTGTTTTAGTAAGAAATAACAGTTTAATATGCTCACTGAGAATGTTATTAATCTTTCTCAATGGTGCAGAAAATTTAACTCAAGAGAAAAGTGGACTGCTTTTTTTCTTATGACCTCGAATGTATCTCCGGGATGCCTCACTTAGACAAGATGCTGTAGCTAGTTGCTGAGATTGCTTCCCCAAATCATAGATAAGTAAGATGGTTGTCTCCAGAAGTCAATTTGTCTCTGTATTCTTAGGTCAGTTGTTTCCTGGGGCAATTTCTTTTGGACTTTCCAGGTCAACTGATCCTTTGAAGACTATAGTTGGTCTTCTGGTCTAACAGCCACCCTAAGCAGTTGCTGAGTGGCATAAAAAAAAATCAGAACAGAGCACCCAGATGGCAAGAAGCTACCAGGTAAGACTTTCCCCGGGTATGGAAGACACTGGCAGCTGCTCACTGCATCCCACACTTGCCCATGAATTGCCCAGGGCCTGAGTGCAGGCACCCTCTGTGAGAAACCTGAGGCTGATTTGTAAGTTACTATGGCAACTGCTGTACCTGTTCAATGCACACAACAGAACGGGGCTCAAGGCATAGCTCTGTGGTATAACCCTTTCCTACCATGAGCAAGGTACAGCCATAGGTCCATTCCCCGGCACCACAAAGAACGAAAAATAAAAAGCAAAAGAAAAACTGAATTGACAAAGCAAAGAATCCAAATGTTAGTTTTACTACAAGTAATAAATTTGGAAATTCCCAGGAGCATATCTTCAGTGTTTTAATAATTTTCTTTGATGAGTTTAATAGAAACTTATAAAATGCTAGGGAATTAAAGTTCTTTAGAAAAATAGAACCAATAGGAGTGTGTGGTTGTGTTTGTTTGTTGACTTCTGTAATTATAGAGGGAGGCCAGCAAGGTCAAAAGCACAGGGTGTGCTGGAAATATAGGAGAAGGGAGGAGCCAGGGATTCGAGGCAACTTGTAAGACTGTATGCTGGCAGAACCCCCTTTAGCCAGAGAGGCTCAGTCTTTCCTATTCACAACCTCTGATTGGATGAAGTCCATTGTATTATATAGGATAGTCTACATTACTTAAATAGCAATGGTTTCAAAGTAAATTCCACCCCAAGATATCTCTCTCTGTCTCTCTGTCTCTCTGTCTCTCTCTGTCTCTGTCTCTCTCTCTCACACACACACACACACACACACACACACACACACACACACACACAAAATCCAGAAAATAGTTCACTCCCATATCTAGGCAACTGTCACTCAATCAAGTTAATACATAAAATTAACCATTACAACCTAATATTTAGAGCCTGCATACAAGATTTGCTTACACAGCTGTAGTGGTGGAGAAAGAGAAAAGGACTCTAAGTTACTCATTTTTTTGGTGAAAGTTGAGTGAATTGCAGATCACCAAGGAAGTGAAAATGTGAGTTGGCTGCCAAGTTGACTGGGACTTAAATAACACCAAGAAGCAACTCTGCAATTAGATCTCTATCAAACAGGCATGCTGAGAAGATTTCTTACCCAAATGTAATTTTGTGAGAATTTTTTTTTGGAAACTTAGAGGGCAACAGAAAATAAATAAAGCAAAGCAAATGAAAGCAACCTAGGCATAGTAAAAAATAATGTTCCTAGCAGTCTAACGGACAATTGTGTCAGAGCCTAGTAGAAAGTGAAGCGTGTCCAGATTTTTAGACAGGATGTGAGAAACACCCAGACCTATGTGGCACATCTCAAAATCCAGTGCTCAGGCCACTGAATGCCTTGAGTAATCAGTATCTGTCTGAGTGAATTTTATGGATCATCTTCAAGGGGACATGTGAGATGAAATCAGTGATATTTTTGAGCCTTTGGTTTGTTTTCTGACAGAAATGTATAAATCCTATGTATAAATTGCCTGAGGAGAAGCAGAGAAGGCCAGCAATTAAGAACCTAGTTGTCATGCCAGGCGGTGGTGGCACATGCCTTTAATGCCAGCACTAGGGAGGCAGAGGCAGGCATATCTATGTACATTCAAGGCCAGCCTGGTCTACAGAGTGAGTTTCAGGTTAGCAAGGACTGTTTTACAGAGAAACCCTGTTTCAGAAAAAAAAAGGGCCTAGTTGTCACTTTGATTGTGGCCTCTGTTCTGGAGATGGTGTATTATGCTGTGTCATTCAGACTGTAAATATCACAGCCATTGAATTCTTCTAAAATAGAAGGCGTCCATTCTAAGATCTTCATGGAATCATGTTGGCTTGATCTACTCATACAATTAATTAAAGAAGCCTGCTATTTCAGTAGATGTGACTGAGTGTGACAACCCCCACTAAGTCAAAGTCCTCAACACCTTCTGTCGAAATTTGAGGCTCACCAGACTTCCTTTTATTTTATGCCCAGCATTTTGCCTGTTTCTCCACATTTTCTATAGGGCAAGTAGACAAATACGCCAAAGTTTATGTTGACTCTTAATGTGTCTTGGACTTTCCACCTTCTAAAATTCCTGTACTGCTGAGTCACACTGTCACTGATTGGATGTTCCAATGGTAAACAAATCCAAGAGAACAATTCCACATCTTCCATTAATCATACATGGTTCCCATGTTAGTTATTACATAACGTGTTCAAAACTTGTTTCCTTTAAGGGCCTTTGACTGATGAAAAGTGAAGAACTGGCTGTGTGGTAATGGTGGTGCACACCTTTAATCCCAGTACTCAGGAGGCAGAGACAGGTGGATCTCTGTGAGTTCAAGACCAGCCTGGTCTACAAGGTTGGTTCCAGGACCGCCAGGGCTGTTACACAGAGAAACCCTGTCTCGAAACAAAGAAACAAGAAAGAAAAAGAAAAGTGAATAAATATTTATGAAGATATAGATTTTGCTATACAGTATACCAACCAATGTATATGTTCTAGCTTCTTAAGCAAAAGTTAAGACTAAGATAGTCAATGTATGGCCATAATATTTATGAATCTGAGTCCTAGACCACTTGCCAAACTATCTGCACTCTTTTTCATACACATGTACAATGTATCTTGATCATAGCAATACTCAACTTCCCTCCAACTACCCCTACACACCCCAATATGTAACCCTCTCACCTTTATGGTCTTATGATTCTTATAATGACCCACCAAATCCAGTTAGTGCTGCTTTCATGAAAATGGAAAATGTACCAGTGTCCACATTCCAGAAGAAAAATGACTCCCCTTCCAGAGAATTAGTGTCAACGGTGTATTCAGTCATAAATGGGACGTCTATATCACACACACACACACACACACACACACACACACACACACACACACACACCAAGACTCAGGGTTCATCTCAGAAGACAGGGTGGGAAAAGTCTGAGGGCCAGAGGTAAGAGAAGATCAGATTGAATAATGTCTTCTAGACAAAACAACTATGCTCAGGGACTTGCAGCAGCTGTGGTTGCCTGCACAAGACATATATAGGATAAAGCCAGTCAATATCCTACCATTGATGGGAAGGAGCACTTAAATCCCACCCTAGCTGAGCAGTTATTGGTAGGTAGTGGCTTCTGGGAGAGGGAGAATCAGTAGCCTCTGATAGGCTGCCCGTGCTCCAGTGAGTGGCCAAATATCCATGCTCATTTGGGCAGCTTTTACTGGACTCAGTAGGTTATAAAGTAAAAGAGCTGCAGAACTAAATAGAGAGTTTTCAATAGAGGAGTCTAAAATGGCTGAGAGGCACTTGAGAAAGTGCTCAACATCCTTAGCCATCCGGGAAATGCAAATCAAAACAACTCTCAGATACCATCTCACTCCTGTCAGAATGGCTAAAATCAAAAACACCAATGACAATTTATGCTGGAGAGGATGTGGTGAAAGGGGAACACTCCTCCATTGCTGGTGGGAGTGCCAACTGGTTCAGCCACTTTGGAAATCAGTATGGAGATTCCTCAGAAAAATGGGAATAAACCTACCACAAGACCCAGCAACTCCACTCTTAGGCATATATCCAAAAGATGCCCATTCATACAACAAAGATGTCTGTTCCACTATGTTCATAGCAGCTTTATTTGTAATAGCCAGAACTTGGAAGCAAATTAGATGCCCCTCAACCCAAGAGCGGATAGAGAAAATGTGGTACATTTACACAATGGAGTACTATTTAGCAGAAAAAAACAATGGAATCCTGAGATTCGCAGGCAAATGGATGACACTAGAAGAAATGATCCTGAGTGAGGTAACCCAGTCACAAAAAGAGA